TATGATGCGTGAAAAACTTTTCTTAATACTACAGTGTTTTTGCAATGTTTGTGAGAAACTTCCTCACGTATATGCCTTCCGTCGACATCGACTGTTCATGAGGAAGAGTAAAACCTTTCCTAAAATAAAAAATCACAATATCTTGCTTTTCTTCTGCCTCAAATTTGATACTAGTACAGTGCCCAACAGTTAATAATATGAAAATCATGACTGTTGGTTAGTTTTAGGCATGAAGTAAATTTATTCGTTTTCACAACTCGCTACTCATTGCGAGTTGTAAAGCAAACAGCTTCGGAAGTCTCTTTAATGATCCCGCCTGTATTTTATTCTTGTATAAGCCGCCTGTATTTTATTTCCGCCTGTATTTTTCCGCCTGTATTTTATTCTTGTATAAGCTGAGTTCCAAGGCTGCAGTATCACGTGTTCAATATACGCAGGTCTATCCTTTGATCTGAGTTCTTTTGGCTGTCTGCCACGAGGCGTGACGAAACTGGTCCATCTCGTTGTTCTGACATCTGAAATGCTCAACATTTCAAAAATAACGCTACTTCGCAAAAACGGCAAAATATATATAACTATCTAAAGAAATTTGGTATTGTGGGAGATGTGAGCAACGATGGAAAAATTTTACCTTAAAAGTTGCATACGACAAGCTCCTGTTTTGATGAGACCGGGTTTTCAGCCTTCATCAACAAATTAATGAAGGCAATATTTCTTTTGTTTCATAATTAACGTTCAGCAGCCCGATGGTATGTCAGTATTAATTATGGTAAACAAGCTTGGCCTTGACCATCTGCCGTCTCGTAATGGTCATTTTTGACAAGTACTGACGAAATGGCTCTATCTTGCCGTACATCAGTTCCAAATGGCTTTAACGTTGCAAGTTTTTTCTGTAGGCTAATCCATATTTTTGACATTGGACCTGCAGTATCGACTTATAACATTCCCGTGATCTGCACCAGGGAGGCTTCCAACCAGGTTGTTTCCAAGATGTTCGATGTGATCGCTACCGATCTTGTTTTCTCAAAGACTTTTCAACTGCAATATTATGACGGCCCTGAAGTAATTTCACAAAGCTGCGGCCTCTTATTTTCTGTATCGTTTGTGCTCAGCAATTGTGACCCAATAACCGTGACTTTCGACAAATAAGTATAAAGTCAGGCGGTGGATTTGGCCTACTACAACCGTTGCGTCTTCAGGGGATATCCGGTAATTATCTTAACATCGCTCTGGACTTGAAGGAAACTCCAATGCTGATTCATTTCAGCAGTCCACTTTATGGATTACGATAGATCAGGTGTCTAAGTAATAAATGCGAGTTCCTGTTTCCTTATAAGTTCATTTCTAATTCTACCCCTCAGTACTTTCAGATGAACTTTTCTGGGTATCCAGTTCGTACCAGCACGTCGTAAACGTGTTGTAATTCCTTTCGAGCCCCACTATCGCAACACAGGTGTTGAGTTGGAACCGTCAGGCATTTAAAAGTTGCAGTTAGCAAAAATATGGTTTCATTCGCCGTATTATGTTTGTGTTACTGAGTATACAGAACCCAGTCGAAATGTTTTTTTGTTGAACTTTTGTGAAAGCGTTTATAAGTTTAGAGCTACAGTCTTTCTGGGAAGTTCCGGCAATCGCTCATTTCTGTTCTTTGTTCCGAGAAGTCTTCAAACTGATCGATTTCGAAATTGAGGTAAATGATTGTGCTTTCAAGTCCGTTTATTAACTTGCTTTTTCATTTTTGCATTTTTCAGGAGTTGGAAGAAGCCTTAATCATCGACTGTCAGTCATTTCAGGACGATTGCCACAGCTCTTTAATTATTGACATATTGATTACGCTCATGAATGGCATTCGAGGCAAAAAAGATGCTACG